AATGAATGCCAAGCGCCTCTACCTCCCCTAAATAGTCAGCACAATGGTGTTAGCTTTGTTCATTGGCAAAAAAAATACATAAATATATATATATATATAAAATTAAAAAGAAAACTGAGAGGAGCGGAAAAGTTTCCACAAAGCGTACAACAAAGCCATCATCAATTTGAAATGCTCAAATGACGGAGAACTTACTTCAGCCAACACACTGGTGTGTACAAATATATACCTATAGAATGGACACCCCGGTTCAATGACCCTTTTCGCAATATTAAATGACAAGTAATTGAGCTGCTGAGCCCACGAAATGAAAATCAATTTCATTGGGCCGAATTTAAGAATTTAAAGTGTGGCCAAATTTTTAAATACATGTGTACCTATATATTAATATGAGAGGAAAATCACGAGTTCAATACTCCTATTTGCAGTGTTAAATAACAAGTAATTGAGCTGCTAAAATCAAAATATTGAATGCAGTTTGCCAATAAATTGTCAATATAGTTTCACAGAATTTATTCATTTAAAGTGTGACCAGACCAATCATTTTAGCCATTTTCAATCAGCTCAAGGTGTAAATTGCTTAATGCTTAAATAAATCCAATGGAATCATGGTGCAAAAACCTAATTACACCTGCTAGCCCCCATCACAAAGGACCAACTACTTTAACCGATCCGATAATTTGCTTTTCAAAGCGCCTATTCATGGGGTTATGAAAAAAGGCAACCCTAGGAAGTGGGGGGGGAAACCAATGACAAATAATTAATTGCGCACACTTTGACGGGACGGGGGGTCCTTTTCTGTCTGCCTGTCAGTCAGTCAGTCCCCGTCCTCGTCCTGTGTGGAATCCTGTATCCATTTATAAACAGCACACAAATATGTCTGATGTGCGAGAGGCTTAGTGGAGATGGGAATGGAGATGGGTATCGAGCTTCTTCTTCGGCCCCGGCACCAATTAACTTGGGCGTATTGTGTAAATAATGTGTTGGACATGGTAACACATTCATGTGCCGGCCATAGACACGTCGTTGGCATCGTCATCTCCGGATCCTGAAGACCCCCAGGATCCAAGGGACTACCCAAGCCCCCCACCCCCGAAAACCCCGGGCAGCTATACGATTTTGATTGCACTTGGCGCTCTAATTGAAGACCCAGACAGGAGCAAAGATGGCCCACCTCCGAAATGGGGCCGTTGACATTGATCCATTCCGATTAGACGTTGAATTCTGATGCCTTCGATGCTCGTTGGTAATTGCCATCAAATCGAGGAATAAAAAGCCAAAAAAGAAAAGGCTACAATGTGCCAGCACTGAGGGAAAAAAGTTCATAAATATCTACGAAATATATCATTTGAACTTTAAAGGAACATATAGAATATGTTTCATATATATAACACTAACAATATTATTTTAAGTATATTCATTACTATTTTAGGAACATTTTACCTGAATAAACTATTACATATTAACAATTAAAATGAATTTATTATCGAATTTAAAACCCTATTGTATGCATTTCCACACATTTACTTAAATAAATTGAAAGAATAGAAACAAAGGAAAATGGTTAATGGATTGAATTAAGCCTGAAATAAACCATTTGTTTTTTATTCTCGGAAATTGGTTCTATTTTATAGAATATTTGTGTTAAATTATCGAAAATATATTTATCCCAAGTTCCATGAAATATTCAGCTTTGGCTCCTTGGGCGGAATCAAGTTCTGAGAAATGGATTTCCAGGAAACCTTAGTGGCTTTAATTATTTTATTTTTTTTTCGAGTGTAAGGCAAAGCCAAGTGGTGGACTGACTTGTGTGCCATGCATGTGACGGCAGCCCAGCAGGATATTTTGTAAATCATTAGTCAACAAAACGGTGGTGATGGTGTGTATGTTTGTGTGTGACTTTCCTGGCAAGTGTATGAATGTGTGTGTGAGTGACGCCATTATTCTCCTCTTGCCCTCATTTTACACCCCCCCGTCGTAGGGCCCCGATCTCGTGGGTTTATATTCCACATTCCTAGTCTGATGAGATGCGCCGCCTGCGCAAGATTGCCCCGAGTTTCACTGTTTTGAGTGCAGTCTGCCACCGATGTCATCAGCATTACGAGTGGGCGGTCCTAGGGTGGTCCTGGGGTGGTCCTTGGGCGTTGCTGAAGGTGCCAAATGCCACACAAGTCCAGCCAACTGAATCACCAATCATTCGCCACCCACATTAGGCCCTTAAAGTGACTCGTTTCGAAAGGCCATATCAAAGGTTTTGTGAATTATTAACCAATTACCTTATAAAGACACCCTAAGCACAGGTCTTAATATTATAGATGTAATTTAAAATAAGCAAAATAAATATTTTGCCTTAATAAATTTGTCACCAACTTTTGACCCCTGAAGTAGAAAACAAACACGTATTGAATAAATAATCAATCCTCTTAATATTAAGTACTTAATTAAAAATACTATAAAAATACTGTACAGTAAAATACTAAATAATACCAACATTAAATACTAAGTTTAACTCAAGTTTTATAAAATAAGTTTGAAAAATTCGTTAAATCTTATAAATAAAGAACGACTTCCAGAATCTTCAGTGTATTTATTAAAAATCGTTTATGTTTGGCTAATAATTGGCTACGAAAACCTATTTCTGAATCCTCGGTCAAGTGGAAAAGTAGTTTATTCGTTGGAAAGTTCGAGCAATATCTCAGTGCACAAATTGCGTGGCGAGAATTCAGTCAGGGGGAAAGTCTTGCTGAAGGCATGAAAATGGTGAAAAGTTTCGGATGGAGGTGAAAGTTAGATGGGAGGAAGGGGGGCAAAGTGGGCGTAGGTCAAGGGAAAGGGGGGTTCTTTTTTTGGGCTGGTGGCGCGGCTAATGACGCCAACATTAGGCGGACGTTTAATGTATGTGCACGTAGTCAGGACCATTCCACACACTGTCTCGCTTTCTCTCTTTCTCCCCGGTGCTACCATCACTTTCTCCTGCTTTCTCTGTCTCTCTTGCCCTCTCTCTTCCTCTTCTCACACACTTACGTACGCATGAAAGTCAAGGCAGACAACGTCAGATGCTCGAGCATTGCATTACATAAGCGACGCAAAACTGTATGCTACACTTTTTGATGGCCACCCATCCGTCTGTCTGTGTGTGTATGCGCGCGTGTGTGGGTGTATGTGTGTTATTTCTGGCCATGGAAAACACTGAGGAAAATGGGGAGGGGGAAAAGGACAGCGGTTGAGGGTCGACAAGGATACGCACGGCACGCCACTCAAAAGCCATAAGCCCAGCAAATTAACATGCCCAAATTATGACAAAAGGAAAACGAGGCTAAAACAAAGGCCCCAAAAACTAAGGCTGCAAAAATGTGGTGGGGGGTATTTTTCCAGGGGGCGGACCACTTCGCCCGTAGACCGGAAAAGGCAAAAGTGAGATTAGAAAACTTTCGCGTTAATAACATTTTCCAAATACTCTGCAAAAGTTTTTCCAAGAGATGGTCAACTATCGTTTTCTAAATAATAGTTTCCTATAAATCATTGAAACGAGCAAAGTAATTAAGATTATTAAGGCCTTTAGAAGTAACTCTACAAAAAATATAACTAAGTGAACAGAGAGACATCTTGTTATTCAAGAATATTTGCTGAAAAAAAAATAATACTGTAAAAAATGTTTTAAAATATAATCTTAGATCTACACAACTACAATTTAAATTCTCTCACTTAAGAAGCCTTAAGAACCTAATAAGAATTAAGAAATTACCAAAACTCATAGACCAACTTAATGAATTATTATTTGCTCTATTGGCACTTTGGCGTGTCATTAAACCAGTTTAATCCCCTTTTATGGGGCTGATTTTTGAGGTTGAGTTCCCTTCAAGTGCAGATTACTCATACGCCCCGTGAGCCGTGGCGAAAACTGAAAACGAAAGCGAAACTGACTCACCAAAGCACCCGCACACGACACATAACTGTCATAATCAGGGATGCGGACACGGTGGCCAACAAAACATCAACTGGAACATAATGGCCAAGTTTTGGCAGAATCGGGGGATAAACCCCCTTTAAAAAAAAAGGTACATGGAACCGCAGTCGCCATAGTCATAGTTTAATATCCATTTAACATGCTCGTGTTGCTGCTTCTGCTTTTCACTGAACGAAAAATTGTCTAGAGCCAGAAATTCATTCACGAATTAAGGGTTAAACATCTGCTTTTCGCAAATGTAAATATTACCGCATGCTGTTTATTTGCTTGTTTATTTCAATAAGCAGCGGACCATGTTTGTTTACCAAATTCACCATAATCGATGGTAAATTCTACAGTTTACATTTCCCGGTGCTCAGATATTTATGCACTTTGATTTTGTCATTTCTGTGACACACACAGAATGAGACTCAATAATCCAATTTATAAAAATAGAATAATTTTAAAAATTGTAAAATACCTTAACCTGATTATATCTTTTTCTCTGATTTTTCTCAGTGCTGTTGGTAAGTCGGGGAAAATTCCCAAAGTGATTATATTAATACAACATGAGCCACAAGTGTGTTGCATACATTGAGGCGTGCCGACTTGAATCCATGACAAAAACTTTTGGCCCATTGTATGTGTATCTGTATCTGTGTCTGTGTGGGTGTGGTGTATCTGTGTGCGACACTGTGCGTGTGTGCCATTCATGGCATATGAAATATACATAAACCAACGGAGCCAACGAACCAACTCTAATAATAATAAAATAATATAAACCAAAACAAACTTTTCACCATGCTCAAAAGTTGTCGGGTGTGTTTCGACCAAGAAAAGATGCGGCCAAGAAGCTAAAAAGAGTCGTAGTATATAACTTAAGCTTCAAAACTTCGATTGCCTTTGCCAACCACAATCACTTCTGGGATAATATTTAAGGTTTTTTTGGTGAAAACTAAAGGGAAAATAAAATGACAAATGGTTAAATTTAGACAATATAAGTTTTAGTTATTTGAAAACCCTAAAATAATATATAATACAATATTTTACTTACTGCCACATTTAGTTTAAAGCGGAGGGCGTAGTTTAAGGAATTAACTGCAAAGAGAAAATTACAAAATACGTATAGTATTTATAATTTAAAATCTGAATAGTTTGCAGAATGCTTGTAACATAATATCCACATATTTCAAGTCCCTCGGCTGCTGCAGTTTTGGCCTTAATTTTCCAAATCAAACAAAATAAAGGAAAAGAAAGGAAAAGACGAGCACCCACACAAGCAGAAGTGAAATGCTTTCTTGTGTGTTTGTGTGAGTGAGTGAAGGTCATCCATGTGCATCTCCAAATGATGCCAGCACCCACACCAAGATAATAATAAAAAAAAAAAAATAACCACACACGTGCACAGCGGTGCCTAATGAACTAAATTTCCATTTTTCATTGCACTGCAAAATAAATTATAAAGTAAAATATTAAAAAATTTAATTAAATTAAAGAAAAATAAATAAATAAAAGTTAACTACTAGTTTTACAAGACTCTTTAATTTTGGAAACTATAAAAAGGCTTATAAACTTTTTCCCTATGAGGTATATATCGTTACAGTCTTAGGTTTCCTTATTACAAATTGTTTAGCAGTATAATTTAATTTTTAAGAGGTGCAAAAATTAGGTACATTATATGTTAAACATTGTCTAGAAATTAAATTTTAAAATGTTCAAAAAATTGTATTTAAAATTTTCCATTGAATATTAAAGCATTTTAACCAATTGCCAATTCCAGTGTATTAATCTTGATGCCGTGTATTTGCCTTTCGCGCACGCTGTATGTTTTTCAGCTGCCAGAACCCCTTTCTTTTGCCCCTCCTGCCACCGCCCCCCAAAAACCACCCATTGCCTTGCCCTTGCCTTGGAAAATCCAAAATAAAAAAAAGAAGGAAAGAAAGTAAGAAGAAAACTCAGCTGGCATTCCCTGTTCGCTGTTTATCTCGCTCGCTGTGCACATTAACCTCTTTGTTAATCATTTACAAACAAATGCAAATAAAATAAAATACAGCAGCCCAGGTGGGCGGGGCGGGGGCAAAGGTAACGAAGGCGGCGGAGGCAACAAACAGCGATGACGACGACGGCTATGCAAATAAAAAAGCTGGCAAATGAGCAGCGAAATTGCAAAAAGGGCAGGCCATAATAGGGGTGCGGGGGGAAATTCCGGGGGGGTTACGGCCTGGGATAAGCTCGAGAGCTTTACGGCATACACAAAAAAACGGGGCGGCAAGACAGGAAGAAATGCCACGCCCACACAGGATTTTGGTTGGGTACACGGGAAAAAATTAAAAAATATTCCAAATTAAAAAAAAAAAAAAAATTGAAATCATTTATTTTTTTAATACGATTTTCATTTTATTGATCAAAACAGGCTTTTAAAATGTATCTAATTTCCTAATTTTATTATTTTTTTTAAATATACCCAATCGTAAATGACTAAAAAAAAGTTGTTTTAAATATTTTTTGTATATATTCAAATATTCTTTTAATATTCAATCATTTTTTTATACTTATATTATGTCAACATATTTAAGACTTAAATAATCTTTTAAAAGTTTAAATTTTTTTAACCCATAATCATTTTCCTTAAGATTTAATATTATTTTTTTAATTTATTTTTAAGTATTGATCAATTATTTCACAATCAACACTTATTAAACACAGAAAAAAATAATATCCCCCGTACTTTAAAAAATATTTCTAAGTCTTAAAATGGCTATGCATTTATTTTTTCCGTGTAGATTCCTTTAGTTTTCCTGGACATTCCAAAAATGATGCCACAGTTGAAAAATTCATCTTGAATCGCTGAATAATTCAGCGAAACTTTTGCGACTCTTTTCACTGCAAATTGCATTTTGGTCTGGTCAAAAACCAGAGCTCCTGTGTTGACTTTTCAGCAAACTTTTAATCAACGGTGGTGAGGGGCCAAGGGGATTTGTGGGGCTGGGTTGGGTTGGTCTGAACTGGTGAAAGGGGGGGGGTTGCCACGGCGTTCCCATTTCCCAGCTGCTTTCATATGCAAAAGATACTCGACTTTATGCTACTGCTGCTGCTCGGCTTGTTCATAATTAGTTTGATGATGTTTGCAGTCAACCTACTTCCTCTTCGTCACTCCCTTTGCCACTTTCTTTGCCTCTTTGGCATTTCCCCACCTCTTTTATCACCCATTTTTAGCCCTCACTCCCTTGGTTTCCCTTAGTGCGTTTCCAAGGCCCTGGAAAACATTCATTCCGACGCCCTAATGATATTTTAATTAAAACTATGCCGAATTTTCAGAAAAGCAACTGGTAAAAACAACCTAAATACCCCTTTTTTACATTTGGGTAATTCATCTGATTATAAATAATCCATATTTGGAATTTTTTGAACCTCTGTATTTTTGGAATAATAAATTTACCATCATATTTTTGGATATCCTTAGTTTATAATTTTAAATTTTAAAGATTGCATTTCCTATATACCATTTTAGTATATTTAAGAGGTACCAAAAAGTGAGTACCCATGTAAATAATCACCAAGGTACTTCCTTGTCCGTTTGTCAACTGGTCATTCAGTCATTCAGTCCTTTTGTCCTTTCGTCAGTTGGTCAATCAAGCGGAAGCAGCGGTCTGGGGGGAAAACCTTTTGGCTTTTCACGCAACACGGCTGCTTTAATAAAATTGTTCACTTTTCCCCTGCCCTTTGGGTGTGCGTGTGTATTGGTCTCTGTGTGTGCGTGTGTGTGTGTGTGTTTTGGGCCTGATTCGATTTTCGTTGATTTCCCAGAAAATTCCACATTTTCCACCACCCCCGCTTTTCCAAGACGGTGCCTTTGGGTCCTGGGTTTGTTGAATTTATTCGCCAGCCTCCTTGTTGCGGCGGCAATCTTTGATCGAATCGAAAGCGAGAGGGAAAGCCATGAGATACTTCTGGCTGGCAGAATACCTTGAGATACTTTCGCTTCAAGTGCTACTTGTATCTCTCGGATAAACACGGTGAGAAGCAGTAATTACGATATGCACTTGGGCATTTATCAATGCCTGGATATTGACACGGTCTTAACACGATTTCAACGGCTTAATTAGGCCAAGATAAATAATTAAAGCTCTCAGACATTGATTTATCTCAAAGGCGTAATATTGTGAGTATTACAAATCGTACTGAATAAAAGCAAGTAACATAAAAGGAAATAGTTCGGTTCAAGTTACAGTTGCCAAAAGAGAATTCATGAATTCATGCCCAGATATTTTTGGTATTCCACCACTTCTTAGGACATTTTATCCTTGCATACAACGTTGTGTACCAACCCGTTGCAAGCTGCAACGTGCAGAAAATTTAGTCTGTCGGATGTAAATGTATCTGCGAGTCCCCGGGACGTATCTAATCTTCTCTACCATGTATCCACCGCCGTTTGTGTGTCAGGTAATTGCCCAGCCAGAAAAAATAACATGTTAACCACGACAGGCAACTCCATTCCCTAAGCATTTGCAGCCCCAACATTTTTTTTTTGCCCCCAGCTTCGCTGATATCATGTCCAGTCCAGCAAACCTTTATCAATACACGCGAAAAAAGCCTAATAAATGTTTGTTTAATATAATATAATAATAATAGGAACAATGTGCATATAAAGATACCATAATCCTAATTTTTAGGTGATGATTCGATGAAAATGCAATTTACTGAAGAATTCGCGTTTTCGAAAATATCAATTTAAACGCGTTCCCTTCCTTATTAAGAGCCCACGTTTTAACCACTAGGAACTCTATGTTGGATCTTAAAGTTCTATGAAAATCAAAGCCATTGTGCAATATTTTCTCGCAGTGGAGCGTCAGGCGTCGCGACGTCCATGCTGTCAACGCCATGCCTTCTAACGGTTTATTTGCAAAGCGTTCAAACTGTCAAAATGGCGTGCGGTGCGCGCTGGCCATAAAAAAAAAAAAAGAAAACCTAAACCAAAACCCCAAAACAGAAACAGAAACTGAACGAGCCGAGGAAAACTGGAATGGGAACGGGAACGGCAACGACGTCAGTGAGTCAATAATGTAATTTTCTCGTTTGATATTTCGACTACACACACACACACCGAATTGTGGGAAATGAATGAGGAAATGAGTTGAAGGCAAGCCATTAAATGAACCCAGCAGCATTCCTCGAAAGCAAGCCAAACGAGGTTAAAGGTCGTATAAAGTGCCTCAAAAGAAATGCATCCATCCAAGCCAATCGTCAAAATTAAGGAATTTTGTTTAAATTCCTTTAAAAGAACTAGCATTCTAAGCAGCAGCCTAAAAATCAGTCTTTAAAAACATATATTAGACGGCTGCGAATAGACTGTCAATCAGTGCCTATAACATGCACACACCCACATCGAAGTAAAGGTTTAAACAGTTCCAGAAAAATTTCCATTTACACTAAAATATTTCGGCAAATTTTGAATATTACCAGATTTTAAACATTTAACACTGCTTTATCGCGGGGATTTGCTTTAAGAAACCCATCTCAGGATAGGTAAACATGTCGTCAATAAAACCATCCAAGGATCTCGACCCGCAGGTTAGTTCGCTCGACTATCAGGAATTGCAGGATCTGGAGGAGTTGTACCCCATCGATATGGCTAGGCCCAATCAGACGATGAATTCTTCTTGGCGCGTCGTAGACCAGCAGTTGGAGGAGGGAATGGGTAAGCTTCATATCAATATTTCAATATTTTTAACATTTAATTTTTCAATATCGATTATATATCATTTTTATCGATAATACCATCCGATTATTCCTATCGACATGCATCCCTAGGTGAACTGCAGCGCATGTTCGATCGTCTGACACCTCCGACTTCTCCGGAAAGGAAACTGTCCACCAATAGTCGTCGCAATCTCAACAGATCCAATTCGATATTCTACGGCTCGACTGAGACACCACTGCCGGCGGTCAAAAAATCAAGGGGACAAATTAAGAAGACCCACACCCGTAATCCCATTTTAAATCCCGAAGAAAGTGATGAGGAAATAGAGGAAAAGGCACAGCAGGCAGTACAGGTTTTAGATAAACAGGCTGTGGATCTGCCGGAACAGCAGCCCATGGACGTGGAAGCCCGTCTGCTGGCCATCAGGTTCTTCAATCTCATGCTGGCGAAACTCTGGCGCCGTCGAAGGGCCGAAGTTTGCGACCTTCACACCCTAGTTCGCAAGTACCAGGCTCATGTGAGTTAATCAAAGCACTCCATATATATATACTTAAATTTGATGTTATAATGTAAACCTATGTATCCCCCAGGCCGCTCGCACCCAAACCGAACTATTTTCCCGGAACCAAATGATCTGTTTGGAGCAGCGTCGTGGTGAACAGCTGAGAAACCAGCTGATGAGGGCCATCAGTCGCGCCCGCGTTTCCATGGAAAATTGCACCGAACTGGACAACGAATTGAAGCAGTCGAGGAACCGGGAAGCCACTCTGCACCAGGAACTGGCCTCCAAGTCGCTGGAGTGCGAATATTTCTCCGAAATGCTGAGCACCTGCCGTTCCGAAATGTTCCGTGAGTTGGCCAAATATCGCGAAGGTGCCACCGAGTTGGCCAAGGAGCAGAGACGAGCTCTCGAATTGGAGCGCGAGAATGCCCAACTGGAGGACGAACTGCTCACGATCAAGGATAAGTTTTTACTGCAGAACGACCAGATGTCGGTGGCCCTGGGCGAGAAGCAGCAACAGCTGGACAACGCCTACGAGACCCTGAAGCAATGCGAACAGGAACTGGCCAAGCTGGAGATGTAAGTAGTCAATCCATTATGGTACTATATATATGATTTCATGGTCTTTTGAATGATTTTCTAGATTATTTTAAGCCCACCAACTAATTTTGCATAATAAACAGATGAGACATACAATTCTCACACTATGATATCATACTTTTTTTTTGGAACCCACACTTTGGACTACTTTTGGGATAATAATAAAATCCATCCTAACTTTATATCTACAAATTATTTACTAATTTCAGTTCTAAATTTAAGATTTTAATAATACTGATTTTTAAAATTCTGAAAGATGCTATGATATCAAGAACTTTTTTTTAGAACCCACTTTTTAGACTTGCTTTGGGATAATAATAAAATCCATCCTAAGTTTATAAATACCAATTATTTACTAATTTCAGTTCTAAATTTTAGATTTTAATAATTCTGACCTTACAAGAAAAATATCTTTCTTTTCTATTCTTAAACCCCTGTTATTATCTTTTGATTTCTGATTTTCCCACAGGAAATACAACGAGGCGCTGGCTCAGAACGAGATCGATGTGGAGTTGCAGAAGGAGATCTCGAACCTGAAGAGGAACATGGGCGTGGCCCGCTGCCTGATCTTCTACCTCACGGCCCGCGAGTGGGGAACTTTCCAGGGTTACCTATACCACTTGGTGGCCGGAACCCTCGACTGTCTGGCGCCCTCATTTTCCACACCGCCGATGGCGGACAATATGCTTCGCATGGCGCTGGCTGGCATCTTCCTGCTTTTCGCCATGTATTAAATTGACCCGATGATACGAAACGGACTCCGAGTGGACACTTTCGGGGTTTCCGGGGATGACTAAGTGTCTGGCCGTTATCGGAGTCCAATAGTTGAGCAATGGGGGCTGCGGGGATCTCGTGAGAAAATTTAGGACACGCGAACACAAATTTGTTGCACACGCATATTAGATGGCTTTTCGTTTTTTTTTTTGTCGCAGTATATCACTATCGAAAATAGAAAAAAATTAAAATAAAATTTTCCCCTAGCCTCTGAATTCAAGTTGTGTTTTTATTAAGCTGTAATTGACTTCTATTTTTCCTTAGATCTTATAAAAATAAATACCGAGGTACTTAAGGTTTTTATTTAATGATGAAACTCCATACTGACACAAAAATAAGCAAGTTCAACTTTTGTGTGTTATGTGCATGTCCACATCCCATTTATATTTTCCACCTCAATTGATTGCAATATCTGAATGTGAATGTGACTGTCCAAATCCATTATTATTTGGTTTGCGGTCGACCGCGAAACACACATTTCATTCTAATTTCGAAATGGTGCTCAAACACGATTGACAGTTCGTTAGTGAATTACTGGTCAGAACGTTGTGACTATTGGTTTATATCTGCTTAATAAAACACCCAGTCTTATTATAATGACTACGTATATTATGCATTGAATAAATCAAGTATTTATCTTGGAGTTTACTAAAACAAAATAATTATAGCTTGACTTTATAGTTTTTATGGTATTATGGGTTCGTCGACAAATGGGTGCTAATAATGAGTCCATAAACCAAAAAATTTCAAATTAATTACCTCGGCAGTTAAATAATAAATAAAACTATAAAACGATTTTATTATGGGTAATTGCTTTTCTTTTTGACGAGTAAAAGTGCGGAAGAGCCTTACAAAAAAGTACGCATACGCCGCGTGCTCAGTTCGACGAATGCCATTCATTGGAGGGCCCAATGTCATCCGAATTACTGAATTGCTGAATCGCTGAATCAAATCAAGCGAGGTGAACTGAGTCGGGAGCACAAAGGCCTTAACTCGATAAATGCATAATACAATGCGACCCATAATTGTCGCAATGGGTGTGAAAATGCGAGTGGGATTGGTGTCTATATTGTGTCCATCCCAATGGATATGTCAAATGGAACACGAAGTCAGTTCATCGGACAGGCGCTTTAATTAAACCAACTAATCTGTAATTGGTTATGTAATTCGATTCTCCTTTATTTCGCCTATTTATCGACGAATATAAAAGAAAAACACCTGCACTCTGGACTCAGGATTCTATATATAGAACCCATAACAAAGCGATGTTCTATATCCACCGAAAAGTGGGGAGGGGATAATATCGTGTTTGGCCCTCCAACGTTTTATCTTCCAACTGGTAATCCTCGGCGATTTTTGATAATTTATGATAATTCAAGTTTATTTACTGCATACAAGACCATAAATTGTTACCAAGCAATTTCCATACGAGAGATAAGAATATTTCCGGAACTGGCCCTACATACAGACATTATCTATTACAAAATGGAGCATGTGTTTGGTAGGCCTCTTAAATCCCATGTAACTCCTAGATATTTAATTATGTTTGTTTTTCTGGGATCTTTAATAAGGGAGCCTCTAAAAAGTGATTTATATGATGTGGGGAAAACTAGTTAATAATAATATTATGACTCAGTGATTTAATGAGTATGAATTTTGAAATTCCCAGAATAATGAAAGTGATTTTGAAGTAGATTTTAATATTTCGGGAATTTTTAAACTTTCTATACACCGAAAAATAATTTTTTTTTTTAATAATAACAAATAAAGGTAATAATTTATAAACCTTTTTTTAAGTGTACTTATCATAGTTGTTGGTGCTCTCTTCAGTGTTTAACTTACGTATTTAATTAATTGGCTCCGGCTTTTGCTGTTTTGTTTTTGCTACCTATGTATGTATTTTTGTTTGTTATTTTTGTTTATTTTTATTTGTTTGCCTTTTCCCGCCTTGCAAATTTCAGTTGGAAGAGCATTGCACGATTTACAGTTTGATCAGTGGGGTTACTCTCTCTTTCTGCTCTGCCTCTCCTTTCTCTCTCACTCTCTTTTCTCACAACAGGTGACACCCGAATGTTTTTTGTTGCATTTTTATTGAATTCATCACCTTACACAAAATAAAAGCCATTGCAAAATAAACGCCGATCGCAATGCGAATTCGCACATAAAAAAGAAAACAAAAAAGAGGGGGGAGCACAATTGAAAACTTAACCTGTGCGAAACCAAACGAAACTGAAACCAAAACCAAAACGAAACCGCGAAACACGTTGCTTTCTCCCTCCGTCACTCTCTCTTTCTCCTTTCTCGCTCTGCCCGTTCTCCCCTGTTTATCGCGGATTATATTATGCGAGCGGAGCGGACTAACGGGAAAAGCTCCGGCGGACGACCACTGACCAACTGAGAACGGAGAGCCAGCGACGGAGAACTAGGCACTCGAAACGGAGAGGGTTTATCTCAAGTACAGTGGCTCCCCGCCGAGAAGTACCAATTGGCAACCCTAGCACTTACAGATTTTTAGGCTCAGGCTTGAAAATGTCTTATAAAGTAAACACAGTGGACCCTTTCAACAATAAACAATTATAAACCTATACATAAATAATAATATATCACTCATACGACATGTATGCCAATTGGAACTCAGTCTTATATGATCGTTCTCCCATTTCTTGTGAACTTATTGATTTTGTTGTAATAATTATTAAAATTAGGAAGACTAAACAAAAGGTTATGCCGTCTAGTTTAAAATAAAGTATTGACCAGAGGCAACAGGGCGTATGAGTAATAAACTTTGAGCCCTCTAGTTTCATTAAAAAAAAAACAAAAACTAGCAATTTTTAACATTTCTAACAAAAATGTAGAGTCAGTCAAAAAACATTGCAACAGTAAACAATTTTAAATAATCTTTAATATTTGTTAATCCTTTTTCTCACTCGATCAGTGACTACTGTACCGGCTCTGCTCTCCGTTGCATATCCTCTCCCTCGCTCCCTTGCTCCCTAACTCCCTGTCCCCATCTCTCTTCCTCTGTTTGCGTGGGTGCCGATCGTGCGAGCGGGAGAGCGCGTGCAAATATGATTATTGTTCTTTCGCCTGCTGCCCCCCTCCTTCGTCTACCCACCTCTCTCTCTTTGCCAACCAACGTAAGTGCGTCTGTGTTTGTGCGATGAGTGTGCGACGGCGGTCGCTGTAACGGTTTGTTTGTTATTTTGTTATTATAGCTTTATTGCACAATCCCTTGCCACCCACCGCCCACCGCCTATCAGCCCCGCCCCTTTTGTTCGGTTGCAGGGCAAACAAACAAAAGAAATTGGGAGAAGGAGAGGGGCAGAAAGAGAGAGAGAAGAAGAAAGCTTCTGATCGCCACACTTGCCACAAAAAGTACGCCACTGCAATACAGTGAAGCTTCGGTGATGCAGTTGCATATCAGGAATTTTTCACACAGAGAATTATTGTGTTTTAGATCTAAATAATATTAATTTTTAAAAAAACCCACTGAACACTTTTTAGATGTGACTCATTGATAAATGTATGTGTATTATTTCGCATTTAAGCGGTACAGTAAAGATTCGTTGTTGAAGAAGCCTTTTGCTTAAATCTATAAAAAAATGTATCTGCACAGAATCTATTATTAATATGTTACTCATTTTAATGACTGCTGTTTTGAACTTATATTTTTTATTTAGGGCTCAACAATTAAATCAGATTTAACTAATCAGTTGTGAGTCATTTCTCAAATTTCATATCAAAACGCCAACGGTAATTAAATGAATTACTATGGTACTACTTTAGTTGTGAAAAAGGTCTTATAAATATAAAATAATAACAGATCATATGTTTATCTAGAAAGATCTTAATAACCAAATCACTATTTAAATGGGTCTACTTAAAACTTTGATAATGAATATAAGCATTTTTTAAGGAAAAGTAAAATAAAAAATAAAACCAAGCTACATATATACATTTTTAGTTTGTATTAAAAATCTTTATGAAATATGTATTAAATACAAAGTGAGTGTTTATTAATACAATTTGCTTAAGACATCTTAAATATTTTCAAAATTAAAATGTATTAAGGGTTTATTGCAATACTTGATTTATTATGTGTCGATTTTAGGCTTTTTCTCGCAGTGCACTTCATCTGCGGCGACGTCGGCAGAGAGCAAAACAAGTGGCCACCGTGGGTGGGAGCAGGATGGGGCGACCAGGTGACAATGGGTGCGAGGGAGAGGGTGTGCGAATTTTTGTTAGCTCTGCCGACGTCGTTTTTTGCGTGTGTAAATTTCAGTGCTTCAATTTTATGTGTGTTTCCCTCTCCCCCGCTTTATTATCGCCCCCTCCTCCCCCCTTCATTCGTGTTTGCGTCGGCGTGCGCGCAAGTAAATTTCTTCTAATTTAATATTTTGTTTACATTATTTATTCATTTACTTATGTATTTGCGGAGCTTCCTCTTCGCGCGCTTGTTTGTTTATGTATTTCACCTGGTCCGCCTCCCCCCTCTCCCTCCTCCCCCTTTTCGCTCCCTTTTTCCGCCCATCCTCATGGCCAAGTTTACGTTTTGGCTAATCATTTACAATTTGGACCACGATCGCTTTCCCAAAAGGAGGTTTTTCTTAATACCAACAAACAAGAATTTGAGTAAGTGCACAGAAAAAAAACAGAAATAAAAATGCATTCCAAAGTGGATCAAAATCATAGTTTCCTTATGGGCAAAGTCCACATGTTTTTCCTTAGAACATCACATCAGGAAAAAACTTTAAAGAAATATAAGATCGCTTCTAAATTAAAAAGTTCCGCATTAAACAACAGTTCATATTACCGCCCCATAAACAAAAGGCTTCTGTTACTTTTAAGCAACTTCCCATGACTTACGGGAAACTTTAAATGTTTATTTGCTGTAAAATTATAGCCCTTCCAAGCAAAAACGAACTGTCTGGCTTTTTATATGATCCCAGTGCTCAGGTTTCCTTCCAGACTGGAAACAAAATAAATAAACACAGACAGAACTCACATATTTTTCCTTAAAAATTACTCGATAACCCGTGGTTTTTCCCTAAAAACCAACCCTATTAATTTCAAATCTATAGAAAAAGACATATGTAACTTTTTTAAGAATTCTTTAATAGAACTTACTTATCGAGAACATTATTAGAACATTATGAAATATATCGTAAAAACCTTAAGGTACCTTTTAATATGAAAAAAACTAATGATCTATATTAAAAGGTAAGCAAGTTATTATTTAATTCTTTAAAAAGCAGTCGTTTTTAAGAATTCTTTAATAGAACTTACTTCTCAAGAACATTATTAGAACATTATGAAATATATAATATAATCCTTAGAAAAACTAATGATCTATATTAAAAGGTTAGACATTTTTTATTTAATAAGCTGTAGTCGTTTTTAAGACTACTTCTAAAGTATAAGTTATTTTCCAAGAACATTATTAGATCATGATTAAATATATTTTTGCATCCTTAAGGTACATTTTAATATAACAAAATTTCATGATCTAATTTATCTTAAAAATCATCATTTTTTTAGATATTATTTTTAACTCTGGTTTTTATTTTTGACTAGCAGTCCACTAATTTGAATGGCCACTGTAGCTGGCTGCAAATTCCTTTCGGTCTTGCAGGATGCTAGCCTAAATGCGGCGCCCAAAAGTGGGCTTTAAAAACTAATTTCGCTTTGCAACCCCCACAAACACAAAACTTTTAAATATGCAAATCGACAACAACAAAAGTACGCAATTTTCGCAATGCTCTGCTTACCTTTGATTCGCCCCTCGCCTCTTCCCCTTCTTCCTCTCTTTTGAAGCTTCCTTCGCGTCTGTCTGTCGCTGTGTTTGTGTTTTGTTTTCTGTTTTTTTTACCTTTCTGTTTTGTTTTTTGTTTTTTTGCACTTTAAAAAACTTACACCGCAAAAAAAATTAGAGTTGTTTACCACGCGCGAATACAAAAGTTCTCGGGAAACCAAACCAAAAAAAAAAAAAGAAAAACAAGAGCGCAAGGCAAAAAGGAGTGACAAAAAGCGCGTGTTGCGCTGATTTTTTTTTTGGGGATCTAAAACGAAGGACTTTACTTGCGCTATTTGTTTGGTTTTTTTTCTGCGGCTCTAGTTTTTTGTTTTAATTTAATATTCACCGCTTCCGATTTTCTACCCGGAATTTTACCGTTTTTTTGTTTGTTTTTATTTTGTCTGTCGCCGAAAACGCCGACGGAGGAAATCACCCACGCTGCAAAAACGCGTCCGAGTCGTTCGAATTTTGGGGCGATTTTGAAAGAGACTCCCTCGCGTGTTTACGTGTTTAACACAAAAACGTAAGAAAAACGTAAGTGTCGGCAAACGTAGTGAAAAAAGCGAGGCAACCTCAGCGTAAGTCAGTGAAAAAGGGAGATGGAAGATGTCAACAAAACGTAAGCCACCGTAAGTGTCAGTAAAAAAGCGAGATAGCCTCAGCGTAAGTGTGAAAAAGGGAGATGCAAGATCTGCTCTCCGAGACAAATGAAAAGCTTCGCACGATAACGATAACGATATGGTGTGACCAGCGCAGTATGACCGTTTGCTCGCCGAACGGAATCTGGGAAACGGAGCAATATGAAGCGTGGGCGCAAACCGCAGCAGGGACTCAATCCACTTTGGCGGAACCATTAAAATAGAGTTTTAATTTGATTCTTTTTATTAAATCTCTGTTATGCATAATTTAAATTTGTATTAAATTTAAAAATATATTGTGTGCATTAAATTTCAGCAAATTGATTGATAAATATTTTAGCTTCGGAAAATCCTGAGCTTGCAACTCCACTACAAAAGGAGCAGGGACTCAACCCCAGGATAAGAGAGTATTCTCAGGACTCGTTTCTCTTACGAATTAAAAAGCTTACAGCTTTATTCCCGGGATAAAAGAGTCCAAAGGGACTCAAATGCTTTTATTCTGGGAGTTTGGATTGCTTCATTGGAGATTTATCTTTATTTCTAGCACATACATATTTTCTTTAATCGTAGTTTAGCCAAATTAAGCATCTAACGAAAACTTTAATTTTTTTTGCGAAAATTGGCAAAAATTTAACCTTTTCAGGTTTAAATGCCAATGAATTGGAAATTAAACAACGAGCTCAACGAGGAATGACATTCCTCTTTCTGTCCTTTATTTTTATTTATTTACCCAAAACACTGATTTTTTTATGGAAAAAAATGGAATTAAGATTTTAGTAAAAAATACTCATTTTATCTGCGGTTTTTCAATCGTAACTTAGCCAAATGAAGGCGTACAGCTAAAAGACCGACTGTTTTGACCCATTTTCGCATTTTTTGCGAAAAATGTTACAAATTAAAATTTTCCAGGTTTTAATGCCAATGGATTG